TCACAGAGCTGTATCTGCTTTGTGGGCTACTCAGGGCACTCTATATGCCTGGTGGGTGGGATGATGCAACAGAGTGAAACAAGAGGATGTCACATTCATTGTCCAGTGGAATGCGGAGATCATTTGAAAGACAACGGTAGAACCCGCCCCACAACCGAGAGCCGTCAATGGAGCATGGCCAGACTAAATAATTATTTAGACTAGCGTCAGCCAGCACTGCCCCACAACATCCAGAGCCTTAAGGAACTCCGGGCGGATCTCATCCACCCCCGAAGCCTTGCCACAGAGGAGCTTTTTAACCACCTCAGTGACCTCAGCACCAGAGATTTGAGGCCACTCCCTCACTGGAAGACGTGTTGGTGGGATTGAGGAGGTCTTCGAAGTATTCTGCCCACCGATCCACAACATCCTGAGTAGAGGTCAGCAGCACACCATCCCCACTATAGATAGTGTTGGTAGCGCACTGCTCTCTCCCCCCCCCCCGAGGCGCCGGATGGTGGACCAGAATCTCCTCGAAGCCGTATGGAAGTCTTGCTCCATGGTCTCACCGAACTCCTCCCATGCCCGGGTTTTTGCCTCGGCGACCACCCGAGCCGCGTTCCGCTTGGACTGCCAGTACCCGTCAGCTGCCTCTGGAGTCCCACAGGCCAAGAAGACCTGACAGGACTCTTTCTTCAGCTTGACAGCATCCCTAACTGCCGGTGTCCACCAGGGGGTTCGGGGGTTGCCACCAAGACAGGTGCCGACGATCCTGCGACCACAGCTCCAGTCGACAGCCTCAACAGTGGAGGCACGGAACAGGGTCCATTCAGACTCAATGTCCCCCGCCTTCCCCGGAACATTTTGGAAGTTCTGTCGGAGGTGGGCATTGGTAAGAAAATAAGTAATAAATAAAATCATAAAGACTGTAAAATAATAATGTTATTAAATAATGAAACAATGCTAAAATATAATCATATAAAACATGCAAAGCCAGTAATAAAATATAATCATGTAAAACATGCAAAGCCAGTAATAAAATATAATCATGTAAAATAACAAATAAAACTATAGTAAATAGCATTCATGGACTCACTGATCTTGGCAAATGACACAGAAGGCTGTTGTTAATTTAGCATCCAGGTGAGAGCAGAGTACGTCTCAGCTAGTAGAAGCTAAATGTTAGCATTTGCACAACATGTCAGAAGTCATTGAGGCTTGTGCTATTTGTTGAGATAAAACAGATTCAGTGGTAGAGTCACATTGCTGTTAGCCAATTAGAGGCGAGATAACCAAATATGAGGAAGTAAGCCGTCTTCTGCCTACCACTCAACCGGCCAACTCTAAGTTCCAAGAACGGGAGCGCCAGAGGTTTTTTCCAACAGAGATCGGCTTACAAGGCATTCATAGAGATCACTTCAAATGTAGTGATTAAATGAGTGAACTTGGTCCTTAATTACCATTCTCTCAATTAAAAATGGGCCATATTATTACTGATGATGCAACAGGAAACAAGCAGTTAATCAATTTGTCCTTTTAATATTTTTCACCATTTTGCACTAACACCAGCTGAAATAACTTTTATGTGTTCGAGTACTATTAAACGAGTTTACGAAAATGCGAATGTTTTGCAGATTTTATATCTTTAAGTTAGATTTGCTCGTGTAGGCCTCCTGGAGAAGGTGTTTCAGGCATGTCCTGGTGGGAGGAGACTTTGAGCGCTTAACCAGGAGTCAGGATACATAGCAGTGTTTTATTATTATTTTTGTGTCCAATATCTCATCCATCCAATTATCCATGGATTTATCCATCCACCTTTTCCCGGAGAGCTGTTTCTCATGTCCAGAGATAGGGTCACACCTGGACAGGTCAGCCATTCGCCACTGGGTCACATAGATCAACAAACATTCACACCTAGAGCCATTCTCTACACACTAATTATTCCTACAAGCACGGTTGTGGACGGCTGAGGGACTTCTGAGCATTTTCAGAGGGCGAAACGGAAAAACCCATCATAAAGGATGAACTTGGAACCTTTTAGTTTTGAGGCAACAGCCCCAACAAATAGCTTTGTCAAGGTCAGACTGCATCTAAATCTGGCTAATGCATAAATGCTAAATATTTAAATATAATCTCGTTATTAAAAAATATTTTTAATAAATTAAAAGAGTATTTTCATTAACTATCAAGTGGTACATCTGGAGTCTAATCTTAACCCTTTAATTTAACGAGTAAATAAAATAATTGAAAATGTGTCTGAAAGTGTATTTTTGACAATATTAATATTTCTTACTTTTTGTGCAAGCTTCACTGTAATATAAGGACCAAATTGTGCTTTAAATGCTTTCCAGTTTGCCAAAGGGTTAATCATTTTAACTCATTCACTGCCATTGACGACTAAAGTCGTCATTTTAAATCCAGCCGTTCACTGCCAATGACGACTAAAAAGTATAAGGAACCCAGCAGATTGCATCAAGTCACTGACTAGTGTCAGTGTCTTTACAGCAATCCTCATACTAAGCAAGCATGCAGCGACAGTGGAGAGGAAAACTCCCTTTTAACAGGAAGAAATAATCCATCCATCCACCCATCCAAAGATGGAGATCACAGTGTGATGAAGCCACCAGGACCACATCAGCAGTAAAAAGCAGAGACCTGGTCCTTGGATCACTATGCCCAACTTACTGATGGCAATGTGGACCAAGTTCTTTTACCAGTCATACAAGGACCTAGCAGCATTTATCAAGGGGCCTGCACCCTGTGCTTCCCAGAGTACCCCCCACAGGGCCCCCTGAGAGATGCGATTGAACGCCATCTGGGCTGCATGGTGGCGCAGTGGTTAGCACTGTTGCCTCGCAGTGCGAAGGTTGCAGGTTCGAAACTCGGCTGCGGCCTTTCTGCGTGGAGTTGCGTATTCTCCCCGTGCATGCGTGGGTTTCCTCCGGGTACTCCGGTTTCCCCCACAGATCACAACATGCCCTATAGGTTATAAATTGTAAGTCGCTTTGGATAAAAGCGTCTGCCAAATAAATAAACATAAAAAATTAACCTTCTCCAAATCCACAAAACACATTAAGATTGGTTGGGCACACTTCCACGCACTCCCTTGGACCCCCTTAAGGGTATAGAGCTGATCCAGTGTTTCATGGCCAGGACAAAACCACATTGTTCCTTCTGGATCTGAGGTTCAACTACCCAATTGACCTTCCTCTCCTGAATTCCTGAATAGACCTTACCAGGGATACTCAGGAGTGCGAACCGCTGTAGGAACACACCCTATGGTATTTGAAGTTTACATTGATGTTGAACTCTGGGGCAACAGTGGTTGCGGCCAAACAAAAAACAATAAAACAAATGAATAAAATCAACCTTATGTTTTTGTGACCTTCCTGCATCAATGACTGATGCTTCCCGATACGTTCTAGGCTCTCCTAGCAACATGTAATGAAACTATTAATGACTAATCTGCTCTTAAGCCTAAAACCATTCACAGAAAACTCAAACTGATGGCAAAGTGAAACTAAACCAACATTACAGTCTAGTGAGTGGAAACGTTGCCATGTGTCTGGACTTGTGCTGACTCACAGGATCCAGATCGATCAAAGCACTTCCAAAATGACAAATAAAGCATCTTTAATGTGTCATTAGTCCATGAGACATTTCCTTTAAAAGCACATTAGTGGTTTACATGGTGGCCTGTGACCTTTATCCTGAATCCTTCCCTTTTGTTTGCTCTTATATTCAAACTCATAATTACTTACTTTTCTTGCATCCAGTAAAACAAATAGCCCATTTCATAAATAGCTTCTAAAAGCTTCAAATGACACCTGCTGCCAGCAGAAACATAAAAAAGAACAAAGGACTGAATGCAGTGATGCTACAAATATTTTATTTATCAAAATGAACCAGCTGATAGTTTAATAAAACAATACAGAAAAACAATAAATTATTTATGTGAAGCAGAAGGTTTTGTCATGAATATTTTTCTCAATGCAGCAAATCAGGTTGACTTTTTGCTTGTTAAAACAGAAAAACCGTAAACTTTCTCTGAGCTGGGAACAGCACAGATGTTTAAATACACAAGAATGGATAAACAATGTTTGACAGATGACAGGAAATGTTTAAATGGTTCAGTGACTGATTTTGTTGCTCTAACTTGCCAAAGTAAGTTAGTTAAATGTGGGACCTGCTTTTCTTTTACTAAAGAAAGAGTTCAACCTTTACATGGAAGCAGAATGAAACTTAGGATTTTACATTAAAACAAACATGTATGCATTAACACACATGCGTGCACAAACACACACAGATGTACAGTATATAAATTGGCTTAAATTAGGTCATTCTCTGGTCTTTGAAAAGGTGAAAAAATATCTAATTATTGGTAATGAAAGAAAATAGAAAAATAAATCTGACACCTTCATTAGTTCCGATGATGAATTATTGAGTTATAAAGTTTAAAATTAGGGATGTAAGAAAATACCAGTAGACTTAAATATTGGGATATTTTGTAATAATGAATTGGAGTTTAAAAGCAGTGAGTCATTTTTTATTTGAGAAATTCCATGCAAAAATCTGTTGTGGGCTACTTCTTTTGTGTGGTGTAATTCAAACTCCGACCACTAGGTGGCAGCAGATTTTCTGATGGAAAAACAGGATCTCGCGATAACAATGGATGCGTCTCCAAATCATCTAGGAGAGTTTTCCAATTGAACTAGTCTAAAAAATTACAAATATCTGATTTCATTTTTATCAAAAACATATGCTGAGTTTCTACTGGAATAAAGACACATATAACATGCCACATGATGCAACCTCACCTAGTAGCTGTACTTTAAAACACATTTAGAGCAACTTATGTTGGAATGACAACAGAAGAGGCAGGATATGTCTACAGCCAGTTTACGCTAGTGTGTGTGTGTGCGTGTGTGTGTGTGTGTGTGTGTGTGTGTGTGAGAACAATATCCATCATAGATGATCTCAAATATGAAAGTAAATGTGGGTATTTAAGTACCCCCCCCCCCCCCCCCGGTGAACAATAGCCGTGACTCCACATTCATGTCTAAATGCTGCTCTGATTAGGTTTCACTGATGAATTGCTTCCATGTCTACTTTTTTCCACCTTCCTTGTCCTTTTGAACAAAAGCAGTGAGTAAAATCCCATTTCCTCAGCCTAAATTCTGCTTGATTGTTTGGACGGTTGGATTGAGGGGTTGATGAAGGAGAGATGATGGATGCACAGCTGGATCATTTGTGAGGATATTAGAATTTCTGCCCCATTGCTAGGGAATCCCCGACAAAGTTACCTTCAAACGCACAAACCAACCTGCATCTGCTGCCAGCTTTCACAGACTGGTAGGAAACACTCCACCCCCTAAACAAAAGAACCGCTTCCTGAGTTGTTGGATGGTGACTAGGACACACACACACATTGAAAGTCACTTTCCAGCAGAGACATACAGCACTGCTCTAAAACGTGTTTCTCATCCTTGAGTTCTGGGAGTCTACAAATAGACACGTGGCTTGTTAGACACCTTTCCTAAAAACTTCCTCTTAGCCTCTCTACCTGAGGGTCTGAGGTTCACGGTTTTATCCGCTGCAGCAGAATTCCGCTCAGCCACTGGAATGCCAGGAACGCTCTGAAAACCGGGCACATTGCTTCAGCCAGATCTGGCTTTTCGCTTTGATGTGTAACAGGCTGAGTGATGAAGTCTGTGAGCTACAAGAGTGTGTGTTACAGACTGAGGGCATGTCAAAGAAATCAGGTGTGTGGTTGGACAAATGCACAAGAAGGAGCATGCATGTCTGGATGGAAATTTGGGAAAAAAGCAATACTTTTGCAGACACGATTAAAGAATTTGACTTTATATTGCTGTGTGTGTGTGTGTGGGGGGGGGTGTATTTTAGATCTGATCAATTTTAATAAGCCTAATTTTGCATCTAAAAATGTGTTATTTTGGATTCCTCCATCCTTCTGTCTATCACTTACTCATCTCGGCCTCCTCCTCCTGCCTAAAGTTTCTAGAAACTGTCTCTGAATTCAAAAGAAAACAGTTTATATGGCTGATGATCAACTAAGCCCACCTGGTACACTATAAAATCCTCAAACATAATTTTAACTGTACTTATGGAGTCCAATATACAGATTTGAAAGGAAAACCAATTTTTGACTCGATATCTGATTGCGTTGCAGATGCTCCATTACTAGTTTAGCACCTCATGTGTTTACATGTGCAAATATCTTTGGCTGGAAGCGTTTCCTCATTCATAAAGAGTGGCATGGCCCACGCACAGAAATAAAGTTAAACGGTTTTCTAATATTTAATGTCTTTGAGTGGAATACAAGCTCGGTCAGTCATCGACCTCTTCTTTGCTGCATTTTTGTCAGCAGTGCTCTTTGATACATTCAGTTTTTTCAAAAACAGGTCAATTGCGATCCATCTGTTCCAGACGTGAAAACTCCCAAAAAAGTGTCCTAGCGAGGAGACTGGAAGGGACAGGAACACTCGCATGTTTCATGATGGGAAAGGAAGATTTCATCGATGACCCAGCGCAACCGCTGCCTCAGCGGGTTCTTGTACAGACTCGTCTGCGGGGCGTACTTCAGCACCTAGAGGAGACGGAGATAAAGACGAGGACTAAAATAATAAGACTCAAACTCTTTGTGCTGGTTTTTGGACTGATTTTCAACAAAAGCAGAAGTTTGTTTCAAAAACTTGTGAATCATTCAGTCAGAACCTTGTGTAGATGGGATCCTGGATATTTATGGGAGTCCTCAGCCCCTCTGCTGGGCTCACCTGTACCTCATTCCTGTGCTGAAGGGGCTTGTAGCTGTTGAGCCCATCCTCTCTTTCTGCTTCAGTCTCCACTCGCTACCTCAAGTGGCGCCTCCCTGCAGTCCTCTCACTTCTTTATAGACGGGACCTAGGGGTACTGTTTTACTATGAAACTGTCAAATGCTTTCTGCGTTCTGATGGCCTTCATGCTTCTGACCAAGCGTTAGTAGAGGAAACATCTTCACTCCTGAGGAGAGGAGTGATGCTGACATCCCCTCATATTTAAAACATTCTTCTCCTATTAGACAAAAATGTGTGTATTTCTCATTATGTAGATCTTGAATCTTATGTCACAAGGGGAACATGGTTTAATGCATCCATTCCCAGGGTTGATCTACAACCTCAGTTTGGTAAAAATAGCATCAGTACTGTTAACAGGTGCAAGAAATTGAAAGTACAGATTTTTCTGCAAAAGACACATTTTAGTTGGTTTCACTAAGCTTGATGCAAGTGTTGTACGAGTGATTAATGTCAGGACTTCCCATCAGTAGGGCAGTAGAGTCGGTAATGCTACGATTTTTTAGAAGCTTAGTCTTCTTGCAGTAAAAAGGTTGCAGGTCCAGTCCAGGGTGTCCCCGCCTCTTGTTCAAAGACTACTGAAGATGTGTGTGCACCAGATAACCACAACCCTACTGAGGAATCAGATGATCAGATGATGGATGGATGGATGGATGGATGGATGGAAGGATGGAAGTCAAGCCATTGAAGTAAGCAGTAAACGTCAGGAATCTTTTCAAGGAAACTGGAAAAAAGCTAAAAATTCCTTATAGAAAAACAAAACCAATCGACATAGACCTAGATTCTACACACACACACACACACACACACACACACACACACACACACACACACACACACACACACACACACACACACACACACATGCACTCCCACTCAGAACTGCACAATTACAACCCAAATCCCACTTTTGTTTAATTCCTATTGTGTGACTTTTGACAGTGAGTAGAACAGAGACAGAAAAAAGCCCTGTGGACCGTGTTTCAATAATGAAGCTATACATGAACAAAGACACAAAGGAATGGAGGGAAGTGAGAGAGTGATGGGCTTAAAGAATGAGAATGGTGCATCGCAAAGGAACAAACTAAAACTGGGAATTGGGAAGAATGAAAGGATGAGGAGAGAAAGGGAAGGGAAGGACAAACACTAGACAGAGATGTATAGGAAAAACAACTTGGAAGAAACGAGAAGGAGTGAAAAGATGGAGGGTTGCTGGAGCTCTGTTGATGCAGCCACAGCTCCTGCACTCGGTTTCTTCTACCTCCTCCTCGGTTCAGTGTCCGAATTGTATTTTCTTTCCCTCACACACCATCTCTTTTAGTCACTTTGAAAACCCATTCAGGTGTAAAGGAAATTCTAAACTAAATCATGTTTGGCAATCCACAGAAGCTTCCTCCATTACAAGTCTGAGATTGCACTAGACGGTTTAGATGCACACACATTATAATGTACAATTTAGTAATTTCTTGTCAATATCTTAAAGATCTGAGCTCCTAAAAACATTACATATCCTCATAGTTCATCCCAGATGACAGCTTTCGGAACACTACTCTTTAGGAACGATTAAACGTATTTAATTTCAATTTAGATTTTGAATGGAATCACATCCAGGGCATGCCCCACCCGCTGTCTTATGCCGAGCTCCAGGGCTTCCTCCAAATGAGTTGTGTCCTCTCAGAGAGAATTTCAGAAGTGTTTCTTGAGCTCCAGCTGCTGTTTTCACTAGAGTCCTGTTTTCTTTAGACAAAGGCTCACAGATCACAAACACTCATCAGTGTTTAGTTTTCGCCCAGAATTTTCTTGACTTTTTTGTGATACTTTACAGATATATTTGTAGTATTTAAGCAACATGTGTTTTAAGTTTTTCAAAATGTTAATATTATATTATGCTTGTTCTTTCGTAGAGCAATAGTGTGTCCTCTGTATAAAAGTAGTCAGACCTTCCTGAGATTCTATTTTGTCCTCATTCTGAAAACTTTTAGAGAAATGTTTGATACTGTACAAAAAATAAATAAATAAACAAAAAAATACATATTGATTAAAAAATTCTCAAAACAAACCTTTAATTATTTAAAAAAAATATTTCTCTAGCATTTTTTTTAGAAATTAGGTTGTAAGTCTGAAAAGTGTCAGACTGGTGAAAATAGTTTGTTTTCCTTGAATTCTGCTTTTGTTTATGCTCACACCCTAGGATCATGTGAAGAATATTTAAAAATCAGAAGTGATAAACCGGATAAACTGATCTCCTCTTGCTGGTATGACAGTTCAAACATTATTCTGACTTACAGTTAAACACAAATGATCTCATGAAAAGATGGATGCCAGGTAGGTAAAGGAAATGTTTGTTCAGTAACTTTAATATAACAAAACAAACCTCGTGTAGCTTGGTTGATGTTTTCGAGGGCCGACATGTGCAGCCAGTATTCCAGTCATTTGTCCCACAGCCACAGTTTCCTCCACAGCGTTGCACCAACAGGCACCGAGGGAAGAAGACGGCATTGGTGGCCTTCAGCTCTTCCCGCAAGTTCACGGAGTAGTTGCGAGGAGTGCAGCTGTATCGCTTGACGTCGTCATAGAGACGGTTCAGATCAACTGGAAATAGCAGGTGAACAGATTAAAAAATAAATGTTTACTTAAAAATTACAATCATAAAAACCACTTTCACTGAGGGCTGCAAAACTTCATTTTTCATTAGAAAATATTATTAAGGACCATGGCATAAATATAAACAGATATGCAGATGATACTAGCTTATTCTCTTCTGCATTAAACCTGACATATTTACAACATTTAGATCTGGCTGATTGATTTATGTTTCATTCATAATAATGCTCATTAATACCAACCAGTTGTTATAATAATTGGGGTTTACTTTCATATGTCTATGACACTGAGATGCTGCACAAGAAACACTCACTTTACTCACTTTGCCAGAACCTCTTGTTCCGCAACAATTTTTATTCAGTTAGAATATTTTTTCCAGTGATTTTTTTTTACAATTCAGAAACCTTAAAGTTATTTTATAAGGTAGTTATGACTATATAAATAAAGGAATCAAACCTGCAAAGTGTAACTGCAAAACATGTTACTAATGTATTAATCTTCACACCTGTCCTTTTTCTTACTTTAAAAAAATAAGCAGCACAAAAACACTTTTTGTTGAGGGAAATAGCAATGCAAATTGGCTTCAGGAAGTTGGACAAGTGGAAAAAAAAGAGGAGACAAATAAAGGACAGAGGAGGAAGCAGAGCTGAGAGAATGAATTGATTGTAAATCAATGTAATCATCACAGGCCTTTTCATTGGTCTGGAGTAAAATGACATCTTTGGTCCTCATAAAAAAAGTCAGGGTCAAACAAGAGACTCAAAAAGATTTGACAAGATGATGAGCAATGAATTATACATACACATAGATGTATACAAATATATACAGTGGGGCAGAAAAGTATTTAGTCAGCCACCGATTGTGCAAGTTCTCCCACTTAAAATGATGACAGAGGTCAGTAATTTACATCATAGGTACACTTCAACTGTGAGAGACAGAATGTGAAAAAAAATCCATGAATTCACATGGCAGGATTTTTAAATAATTTATTTGTAAATCAGGGTGGAAAATAAGTATTTGGTCACTTCAAACAAGGAAAATCTCTGGCTCTCACAGACCTGTAACATCTTCTTTAAGAAGCTTTTCTGTTCTCCACTCGTTACCTGTATTAATGGCACCTGTTTGAACTCATTATCTGTATAAAAGACACCTGTCCACAGCCTTAAACAGTCAGACTCCAAACTCCACTATGGCCAAGACCAAAGAGCTTTCGAAGGACACCAGGAAAAGAATTGTAGACCTGCACCAGACTGGGAAGAGTGAATCTACAATAGGCAAGCAGCTTGGTATGAAAAAATCAACTGTGGGAGCAATAATCAGAAAATGAAAGACACAAGTCCACTGATAATCTCCCTCGATCTGGGGCTCCACTCAAGATCTCATCCCGTGGGGTCAAAATGATCATGAGAACGGTGAGCAAGAATCCCAGAACCACACGGGGGGACCTGGTGAATGACCTGCAGAGAGCTGGGACCACAGTAACAAAGGTCACCATCAGTAACACACTACAACGGCAGGGAATCAAATCCTGCAGTGCCAGATGTGTTCCGCTGCTGAAGCCAGTGCATGTCCAAGCCTGTCTGAAGTTTGCCAGAGAGCACATGGATGATACAGCAGAGGATTGGGAGAATGTCATGTGGTCAGATGAAACCAAAGTAGAACTTTTTGGTATAAACTCAACTCGTCGTGTTTGGAGGAAGAAGAATACTGAGTTGCATCCCAAGAACACCATACCTACTGTGAAGCATGGGGGTGGGAACATTATGCTTTGGGGCTGTTTTTCTGCTAAGGGGACAGGACGACTGATCCGTGTTAAGGACAGAATGAATGGGGCCATGTATCGTGAGATTCTGAGCCAAAACCTCCTTCCATCAGTGAGAGCTTTGAAGATGAAACGTGGCTGGGTCTTCCAACACGACAATGATCCCAAACACACCGCCCGGGCAACAAAGGAGTGGCTCCATAAGAAGCATTTGAAAGTCCTGGAGTGGCCTAGCCAGTCTCCAGACCTCAACCCCAAAGAAAATCTGTGGAGGGAGTTGAAAATCCGTGTTGCTCGGCGACAGCCCCAAAACATCACTGCTCTCGAGAAGATCTGCATGGAGGAATGGGCCAAAATACCAGCTACTGTGTGTGCAAACCTGGTAAAGACCTATAGTAATCGTTTGACCTCTGTTATTGCCAACAAAGGTTATGTTACAAAGTACTGAGTTGAATTTTTGTTATTGACCAAATACTTATTTTCCACCCTGATTTACAAATAAAGTCTTTAAAAATCCTGCCATGTGAATTCATGGATTTTTTTTTCACATTCTGTCTCTCACAGTTGAAGTGTACCTATGATGTAAATTACTGACCTCTGTCATCATTTTAAGTGGGAGAACTTGCACAATCGGTGGCTGACTAAAAACTTTTCTGCCTCACTGTACACATATGTATACGTGTCATGTTCCTGGGCAGAGGTGAGTCACACCTTCTCCTCTCACCAGACTCTAACTTAATTCTCCACAGGTGAGGAGCAGGGGGAGCGGCAGCTGCAGGAGATTTCCCAATCAGGGACGCGGGTTCAAAAGGAGGATGGAGACACATCACTTTGCCGGATGATTGCACCAGTTTAGGTAGCACCAGCCACTCGACTCTGAACTTTGATCTTGTTAATTCGTGTTTTGACTCGCCTTCGACTAGTGGATTTATGACCTTGGATTGTATTTTGGATTTGGAATTGGATTATCCCTTACGCCTGTTTTTGTCTCGCTCAGGATCATCTCATCATCTACTCACCCTCGCTGTCTTCGTTTTCTGGAACATACTCATCACGTCCCATCCTCCTCCGCCGTTCCTGTTTGGCTTTCCCTCTGCTACCTCACCCTCCTGGATCTCTCATCCTCTGCCCAGCGTCCTCCCCGGCTTCCCCTCCTCTCCTGATTAACCTGAGCACCTCAGAGACTCGAGCCGCATTGCTCATCCCACAGGACTTCCCTGTGCTGTTTCAGTTCCCGTTTTTATAATAAAGACATTTTACTTTACTGCTTTGGACTACGTGTGCTGATTCTGCATGTCTTGGGTTAGACACTTACCTCGAGCCATGACAGAATCATCCGGCCACACATCTAATCCAGCGGAATCAGCACTCGCGGATCTGGCTACCCGGATGTCCCAACAAGAGCAGACACTTCCCGTCCTCATGGAGCAGCTGAATATCACCAACCAACGTTATCAACGTTTGGAGACCGTCCTGCAGCAGCTTCAGGAGCAGCTCTCCTCTACAGCCTCGGGTTCCGTCCCCGCTCCAGCGACAGCCGCCGCTCCGGCGTTCGGAACAGAACCACACGCACACGCCTCGGGAGGTGTGGTTTCACCTGGACCGGAGGCGCTCGGCTCTCCGGAAATCACCCACTTCCGTTCGGCTCCTCCTCGGCAATGTCCGACCTTCTCCGGTGAATTCGAGGATTGCTTTGGGTTTCTGCTACAGTGCCGCCTAGCGTTTGAAGACTCCCCGAGGTCTTTTCCTACTGACTCAATGAAGATCTAGTTTATTGTTGGACTACTTAGGGGCAAGGCGCTTCGGTGGGCGGAGGCTAAGAGCAGAAATCCTAATTTCCTGTCTGGTTCTTACCCAGACTTTCTGGAGGATTTTAAACTGACGTTTTGCAGTTCAGAGACCACCACTGACATCAGAAAAAGACTGTTGCACCTCTCGCAGGGAAGAAGGTCAGTGGCTGACATGTCTCTGGAGTTTAGAACCTTGGCTGCAATGACATCATGGGGAGACGATGCCCTTAAAGCAGCATTCATCGAAGCGCTGAACGATCGGGTAAGGAACCAGCTGGCTCTTTGCCCCGAGCCATCAACCCTGGACAGACTGATCTCATTATGCATCTCTATCGACAAGAGACATAGGGAGCTTCAGAAGACACCGTTCAGGGATTTGTCACCACCTGCAGCACATCGTCCATCCCACAGGTCTCCTCCTCTGGACTCACCCGAGGAGCCCATGCAGGTGGGACGTACCCACCTTACTCCGGAGGAGCGCCAACATCGTTACAGTAAAGGTTTGTGCCTTTACTGTGGGAAACCAGGACACATGGTGCACACCTGCCCTGCGGCGTCAAAAGGGCGTGCCCACCAGTAGTTCCGGGAGTTCTGGTAGGCAGTCATTCAGGTAAAGAAACCTCCCGTTTTCTTATTGACTGTGCTTTGACTGTTAACAGTCGTCGCCACCAGACAACTGCTCTAGTAGACTCAGGATGTGAACAGTCATTGGTGGACCCGCAACTGGTGCGGGATTGGGGACTGTCTACTGATCCACTGCCGGAACCTTTAACGGTGTCCTCCCTGGATGGGAGGCCCCTGGCCACAATCACCCACCGGACCCAACCACTCCAGCTCCAGGTCTCAGGTAACCACACGGAGATGATCTCATTATTTGTGTTTCCCTCCCCGCAGAACCAAGTAGTTCTAGGCCATTCCTGGCTTAGGGTACACAACCCGTGTTTGGACTGGAGATCAAGCCGTGTGGAGACCTGGAGTCCGGAGTGTCATCTTACCTGCCTGACCTCTGCTTCCTCTGGATCTAAGGACTCTGAAAAGACTCTTGTGGAGCCGCCCGATCTGACCCAGGTACCAAGTGAGTACCATGACTTACAGCAAGTATTCAGTAGAGATCAAGCAGCCACGTTGCCACCTCACCGTCCATTTGACATTGGAATCGACCTGTTGCCAGGAGCTCCGCTCCCAACCAGCCGCCTCTACAGTCTGTCCAAACCTGAACAGGACAGTATGAGGAAATACATCACCGAGGCCTTGGCCAATGGCATAATCAGGCCATCCACCTCGCCTCTGGGAGCTGGTTTTTTCTTCGTGGCCAAGAAGGACGGGTCGCTTCGCCCTTGTATTGATTACAGGGGTTTAAATCAAATAACGGTGAAGGACAAGTACCCGCTCCCTCTACTTTCGTCTACCTTTGAACCTGTGCAAGATGCCACCGT